ATGATGGAAGGCGTAATATACACATCAATTTGAAGAAATGCAGAAATGCGGAAAATGCAGAAGTGCGGAAAATGCAGAACTGACGAAAAGCATTACAATTTCCAATTTTTCAGAAATTCGCCATTTTCTGCAATTTCCGCATTTCTGCATTTCTCCACCGTCGCAAGCTATGAACGCGGCCTAAATGATGTAGCATAACAACGCAACCGAAAGCAGAAATAGCATAACATAACAGAAAAACAGACAGCATAACAGAAAAAAGAAAAGAAATGGAGCTATAGCAGCCGATCGGCTGGAAAATGGTGAGGAATCGATTTTAAGGAATTCTGGGCAGGACCAGCCGTGAAAGATGCTTGCAAGGTGGTTGGATTGGAGCGCGAGTTTTTAGGGAAACAGGATGTCTTTGAAAGGCCATAACTTCTTCAAAAGCGGACATGTGGGAAAGAGGAGAGGTCGGTCAGTCGTGTAGAGTCAGTCGTCAGTCGTGTCAGTCGTGTAGAGGAAGGTTTGAATTTCCTAAAAATATTTTTAGTCCTCCAAAATTCATAGAGAACTTCAAGCGTTTTGGGGGTTTTTTGGGAGCGCACTTTTTGGTATAGTTTTGCCAGTGCAAACTGGTTTGTTTGAAGATCAAGAATATTTCCGCTTGAAACTCAGTAGTTTGGAAATCTGAAACCCAGTTTTTCGAATTTGAGAAGATTTTATCTTTCCCAAGGAAACGAAAAAAACTATTTAAACTGTTTCTGAAATTTCCGAGATTCATGAGATAATTGCGTTGGGGATTTTTTGGGGAACACTCCGAACTGTTCGAAAGTCCGTTTTCTGTGTACGGTTTCAAGCGAGCGTGTTCGAATAACCAGAAATACATGTAGAACGTATCCTGTGGTGGAGCAGGAGCAGGATGTGGTTTGTTTAGCGCCAATCATGCTAACTTTGGATGCGCCGCGCATTGAGGTCCGCGCAGAGGTGATGGGATGGTGCAATTTGTGCGTAATGTCTGTCCACGCGAGCAAATGTGTCTATAGGATTCAGGGAGATCCATGGCGAACCTGTGCACTTGTTTACAGTGTTTTCCCTTGCGATGATGGATGATGGAGCGTGTCTCGTCGACGCCGCCGCGCAGATTGCGTGAGCTCCGCCAATTGCTGATTCCATAAAGGAGACCAACTGCTGGAAAACGTCTGATACGAACGATATGGTAGTCCTGTCGTTTGTCGAAAAAAACAGGTTGGCTCAGCGCCAAGCGCGATCGCGGACACGCCCCATCATCCGCAGCGAACCAGAGTATGAGTTGTACTGTTTAGTCACTTACGAGATGATGTCGACTTATTAATATTTCCAGTTATTTCGGATTAGTTTGATGAATGAAAGTTTTGTACTATTTTTTACATATCCCATTTTTCTACAAAGCAAGTTTCGCTGTAGGCTGCGGACTCAGCACACTGAACACTTTGCGTGCTGGCTCGTGTATTGGCTACCGCAGCTCACGGGTACGCCCCGCTCTCCTGCTCGCTATGTCGGCGGCAAATACACCCCCCCTCGCCTCCTGTTGGGGATTCCCCGACCAACGATGTGCCCTGCGTCTTGGGGAAAAGGGGTTTATCAAGCAATGGTGAAACGGCAATTATACCATCAGATGACTAAGGAAAAATTCTTTCCAGGATGTACTACTGAGACGCAAGGGAGAATGGGTTTTTAATCAGCAATCAATGTATAAAAAATACTAACAAAAACGCTGAGAACTTTCCGGACAACCTACTAAATATGTAGAAATTTACTCAGCAGCGTGCTCATCACAAAAGAGTTGCCTCGATGTGCGGTTGCCGCAAAAAAAGCAGTTGGTGGCAACTGACTGTTCCCTTTTCAAGGCAAGTGGGAAATTTAGCTTAAATAGCGGGAGTCCGAATGAGTTTGTACATCGTTAGGACTGTAATGAGACCTTCTTTCACCAAGTGAGTGCGGAAAGAGCCGTCGACGGGCAAAAAACGCAGATTTCCCGATCTGCTATGCAAAGCATCTCCACGATTGGTCAAATTATGGCGATAAAACGACATTTCTCAATCTTCCAACAAGTCCTTAATTTATTTTCCAGGTGAGTAAAAGAGAAGCATATCTAGTAGGTTGTTGTAATAGTAGAGAGAGTTCGAGTGATCTATGCAAGCCACCCATGGTTTTCAAGCAACCGTAGCCGTGTGAGAGAATTACTTTCGAGGTGCTCTCGCGCGGCTGAGCACGGGAACTCGTCATCGCTTCCTGCTGATTGAAAACATATACTCATTCCTCCTCCTAGATGTGTTCCCGTTGTACGTCCCAATTCTTTCTACCATACTCCCAACTTTTCCCAAAATTTTGCCATCAAACAAGAGACGGAGGTTTTGACACCTTCGCAAGAGACAGAGGTTTTGACACCTTCGATCAAATATTAGGAATAGCAACTCTGCTCCTGGAAGTTAACCAGATAATGGCAAATTAAACAATAGAATGAGTGACTGATCATGACCAAATTGAATTAACAAAGTAATAATGACCAAAATTCGCCTGGTTTTTCGTTCCGAGTGACGAGCGAGCCCTTAGCATCCCAGTCAAAACTGCCAATCCGGATCTGATTCAAAAGTGGGTGTGCCTATACAATGTGGGCGGAGATTCTCACGGTGGGTGGGGCGTCCTGTAGCAGTCCAAAAATGTGAAAATTTCGAAGAAATATTTTCGGAAGAAAGTGCAACGTGGCGCGCGTGGCCAGTGGGGCAGAGCTTAGTGTTCGGTGCACGAATGCGCGTCTATGAGTATCTCCGTTCTGTTAAGAGTGCACGTGAAATTAGCAAAGTTGGAAAAAAATATGAAAATTCCAAGTTCGTAACAGACTCTTTTGGAAAATTGACGAAGTCGTCCATATATCGATGTCCAAAACTCATAGAAACAGAAGTTAGGAAAGAAATTTGAAAATTCGCCCGCGCTGCAAGTAGGCGTTGCTTCCCGAGCGGGGCTCGCAACGGGTGTTTCGCGTGATCTGGTTGATGTACTGCTCGGTCTAAAGAAGAATTTGATCCTCTTCGAAGTGATGAATTTGTTTTGAAAGCTTGTGATGAGATTGAAAAGTGGTCAATTAAACGGGAAAATGGTATTGATATATGTGCGCTCTGCTGCTTTTACTCAGAATCAGTGACCAGTGCGCTTTTCTCTTGGATGAATCATATGCCCTCACCTTAGAGCTGAGAAACAACGGAAAAGTTGACTGGTAGGGACGTCAAAAAGGCTCTGAACAAGCAATTCATTCGCACCTCTCCCTTGCACGAAGGTAATGCAGGGTGTTTCAATTGTCTTGCGCGCCTTAGGTTGTCAGGTGCGACAGATATATTCATTTTGGCCTGGGGCTTCGACTGGATCGTCGCTTGAAGCGAAAAAATGCTGCGACCCACACATGAGAACTCTCTGTTGAGAATGCAGAGCATTGTTTCTTCCTGTCAGGATCGTTAAGGGGACGACTTGTGTTCCCGTCATCCATTTCAGACATTGAAAAGAAAATAGCAATATCCACTCACTATTGGGGAACTGAACACATTTCAGCACCTACACGGGCCTTTCATTCGATTAGTGTTATTGCAAAATCTCAATTATCACTCAACAGCAAATGTGTTTGCAGGCAATGCATCGCACCCCCTTGTCCCAATGTTGCGTTTTCTAAGAAGCTGTTGTTTACGCTCCCTTTGAAATAACAACCTATTGTCTGAAAAACAGTCATTTGATACGATTAATTTTTCCGCTTGGTCAATTTTGTTTCTTGTTGCCGTTTTCTATGGCTAACTACAGTCGAATTCGCTGATCGCTGTTTTCGCCCGCCTTTTCAACTTTCACATGACAGGTGTTGAAGGCAGTAGGCACGAGAAAATTGCTGTGCTTATACTGGGAAGCGACTTTTTTTGCTGTTGTCTTCCCAAGAAAGTCATTGACGGCTGTGATTTCCAACTGAACATCACTATAGAAAAAACACAGTTGCTGAATTTGCCTTTGAATGCCTGCGTTAACTATTACGGCGCGAGTTGCAGCGTTTTCAATCGCGCGCTTATCTGCAATATCGAAATTTCACTTTATCGAGTCCCTTCGTTCTTCAGTGAGTGTCGGTGTTTTGTTGTAGTTTTGACATATTTTTTTGCTTTCACCTAATCCGCGAATAGTGAACCACTATGCCAGTGTTATCGATGTGCCTTATTTTGGTCACAAGCCCAGACTTGATTGCGTTAATTCTGTATTTTCACTGATACGGTGTGATCTTCGTGGGTTTGCTATGTACGCGGATCGTTGTCATGGTATTAGCAATGTATTCTTTGAGCACACGTTGCAAAGTGGTCCTATCGCGATGGTTGCTGTTTGACACCTCACTTCACCCTCCGAAAGTTGTGACGAGGTGAGCTCCGATAATGAGCTAAGCGCAAAGGTCGCTGTTTAGCAGGGACTCCAGCCTCCATCTCACGTTCTACCGGTGAGTGGGCACTCCATTATGCCACCATTGTCGCCTCCTACACTTGCAGCTTAGTGGGTTGCAGTTAACAGCAAGCTGCGCTCAACGCTGTAATGGGAACTAACTGGTCTGGAAGCCTTTTCTTACTCATACTTCACCAAGTGCACCCCGATTCAAGAAAAAATCATATTCGAAGAATTCTGTGTGCACGTGTACTGTTTGTGGTTACGTTGCATTTTTTTGACAGCATCTTACCCACAGCTCTGACCCTCAACAAGAGAAACCACATTCTTCCCTTCACGTATTCAAGAACACTGACTTTCCCCTTGTGTTTTCCAGCACGGTTGTTTATTTCCTCGCATTTTGATGAAAGATTCTTCGTATAAAATGCTCCAATAAATGCTCGCAAGGTCCCGTACAGTTAACAGTGAAAAGGAGCCAGTATGAGGTACCGTAGCGAGGTGCAATAACACTTCGAGCTTGTTTTCGTTATGCAAGCGATTTAACAAGTTACACTACACCTCTTTATCCGATGTCAGGAAAAATGGTACACAACGTGCTTCAAACTATCGCGGAGATGTTGGTTGTACTATCGTACACTTTTGTTGTGCTTGTTATTACCACATCCAAAGCAAAAGTATTCAAGAACGCGTTTTACTCGATATTTCTAGCAACAGGTAAGATTCTCAATATCCCTTCATCGATAATCTATGTCTTCTACTCAAAAATGGTAGACATGTGCGACCAGCAGTTAGCGCAGCAATTAAGCGAGGTCATGCCGCAGGCCGGCCTCGGGGTATGCGCTAGGTTCCAGTATCTTACCGTATGCCACTCCAACTTAAGATGTTCACCCCATAGAAGTGGTCACTGGCTGCTCAACGAAACGAGATAAATCGAATCGAATTCATCTTTAGGTACGACTTGATATGTGAAGATCAGTGATTTCCCAATTCCATAAATATTAGGAATGAGGATAAGTGTTCGTATTGAAGAAAACCCCATTGAAATTACCAGAAACTTCTGTTTTTGGGTGCACTCTACAAATCTTATGACCGTCCAGAAGCAAAGTAATTCTTACAGGATCATCTTTACGGATGGCTTCCACATGGCCGATGATTCACCGTCACACATGTACCGTCCAAGCTTTCTCACCTCCATATTTCCTGACCCTCTCCCTCTCAGAAGTACCATGGGTTTGCAACCTGTCGGCGATGGCTACTGCGGGTCTATGCATGCAATCGCAACACCCCCTCCTCCTCCTCGGAAAATCACAGATTCCTTCACAGCTCCGACTGCTCACCCCATGAAAGCCTTACGTGTTCCAGTCTTAGGCTTTCAACCATTCCAAGTCAAAGAGATGCAAAACCGCTTTGCTACTTTTAGGTTTGAAGGGTATTAAAACTAGTCCCTGAATATCAGGTAGAAGACTTTTGCAGTGTCGCGGTACGTGACTGTGGCCTCGGGCGCACCCTGCGCCTGGGCTCTGCCGCGCTCTACGGCCAAACCGCGCGCTGCACCGTCAACCAATAGGCGTGTGCCACGTGACGCCACGCCGGTGCTGCTACTATAAAAGCGGCCGGCGGAGAGGCTCCCGCGCGGAGCTCTCTTGGCGTCCCTTCCCTGCTGGGAGGAGAGTACCCCTCTCCTGCCAGTTGAGAAGGTCGATGCCTGGCTCACGTGGAGTGGAAGCCCGAGTGGCACCAGACGCTGCGAGGGCTGACACTCGCGCAAGCCGGCAGAGTGCCGCCTTACCGCTATTATCGCTAATTTTATCAATCATGCATCGATGGGTTGGTCGTCCAGAACGACAGGGATGAGGATGGAAGATTGGCATCATTACCTTCCGCCGCAATAAAATGTGTGTTTTTATATATTGTGTTTTGTGTGTTAGGGCAGGTCCTGGGAGGGGGGGGGGAGCGTCAGGGCGGAGGCCCGACTAGGCGCTGTAGGTTGCTAGCGTCCAGCGACCGGGAAACCCTTGGTCTGGTCCTTGTGGCCGGGCCAGGGGTAGGCCAGTCGTGGGGACAGTGCTACCGCAAGTTCCCCCACAACCCCCCGGGATAGGAACCCTGTAGACCCTCGGGGAGCGGAGGCTGCACTGGGGAGACCAGTGCGGTCCCCGAGGAGGACCCTTAGGATGACGTGAGTTCCTGGATTCGGGACTCACGGGGCTCTGAACCACCTCGATGCGTCGTGTTTTGAGGGGTTTGAAGGGCGACTGCCTCTGAACCACGACATGTAGAAGGATACTAGATACTTAACTAATAAACCCCTATAATCTTAGGAATATTAAGCATTTTATTTATTTGATTTTATTTATTTGGTTGTGAATTTGGAGTCCAGTATAAAGAAGTTTCCTTCTCTAACACTCAACCTTGTGAATTGTCGTCGTCAGTATCTCGTTTCGTTGAGCAGCCAGTGAGAGGTCAGCAGTCAGCGCAGCAATTAAGTGAGGTCATGCCGCAGGCAGGCCTCGGGATATGCGTTAGGTGGTGGCATGCAGTATCTTGCCGTATGCCACTCCAACTAAAGTCAGCCACCCCTTCTATAGCTATCAAGTGTAATTGTTTCACTGAATGCGCGAGTTTTAGGTGCCACGAAATCATCACCTTCTTCTTCTTCTTCTTCTTCCTTCTACTTATAATTCTATTTCTACTTCTACTTTTTGTTATTATTATGATTATTACTATTATTATTATTATTATTATTATTATTATTATTATTATTATTATTATTATTATTATTATTATTACTCCACAGCGGCTGTCCCGCTCGCTGGCAGGACCTGCCTTTCTGATTGCGTGGACGAGATGCTCCTAAAGTGCTTCGCGACTTTCCAGGCCTCGAGAAGGCTGGCAGATCTGAAAAATAGTCGAATAAAACCTGCTGACACTTTTGATGTCAATCCGAGTCTCTTTCTCTTGTCTGAAAAATGTTGAAAGTGCTACTGATGATACGAATCGGGATCATTCCCTCTGGGGTTGCATCGTAATAAGGGCCAAATCGTCAAACATAAGAATTTACCAGAAGTAAAACTGCAATGTGTTGCATCAAAATCTGTTGTCGATCGTTATTGTCTTAACTCTTTAAGGGATTGCCGACATTGCGTCCCTATTCTCATGCTGCTTCATCCGACTCAACCGTGAACTTGGTCTCAATGAAGATTTTGAAACCATAGTTGTGATCTGTCTCACAGCTAGCGCTGTAGCATTTGCTGCGCACATGATTGGTAATGTGCTTATTGCTGTCAATCGATACACTGCTATATGCCTCAGCAAAAAGTATGACGTGGTCAGTCGATTTTTCAGCTAATTCCCATCTTTCATAAGGTGGCGAGCACTTTCTTTTAAACGGTGGTATCTACTTATTAACTGCAGAATCACAGTAGTCGAGGAAAATTACTGCTGGAAGTGCAGGTCTCTTCAGATTTGGACAAGAAAGAGAGTGTGGACAGCAGTATTCATCCAGTACGTCGTATCTCTTTTGGCTTTCATCCATATCGCTGGCACAAAGATGCTCTATATCCACAACAATGACGGAACGGTCATCCTCAAGGGGTTCCAGAAACACGTCGAGCTTGTGAGCCCACTGCAAGTTTTGAGAAATAGTTTTAACGTAGAAGTGACGAAGAGAAACAGCTACGTTCCGTACTTGTGCTTGGAAAAATCGAAAATACACCATTTCGGCGGCTATTACATCTCTCAGTTCATCCAGTGCTTTGAGACTGTCTCAGACCCGAATTTCATAGTGCTATACAAATCTAAGGCGGCTCAGTGCTGCTCACCAAAACGAACGTGGATCATATGTTTGAATTCAGCTATGAGTTGTGCTGGGGTCGAAAATCTGGATAAATAAAGGTTGTTCCGAGTGCTGGTAGAAAGAAACTCGAGCATATTATCGGTCGATTCCCATTATATTACTCAGTACGATCAACGACAAGAAAATAAGATCTCAAAACACTAGGTGAACAAATACTCTGCAGTGTATCAAGCGCCTTGCTTAAGTGCATTCTAGAAATACATTATCTAGAGAGTCACAAAAGAAGAAGGCAGCACCAGAAGTACTGTAGCACAGCACTCACCTTCCAGCGCGACAATACCCCAAGGTAAAGCTGAAAAGCAGAAATCTAGCGTATGCAGTTACACAAAAAGAAACCCAATGTAGCTTTCTGTTCACATCAAATCAAACTCCGGCCGTTGTTTAGCTTTCTGTCAGCAGAATATAAGAGCCAATATTTGGCCTTCTTGGAGTGCGCGGAGGCGGTGCGGCCTTCTATGGCGGGAGGTGGGACCGAAAGAAAACGAGAAAAGTGGAGCCATCACCAGGGCACAGATCCGGGTTGACCCTACGGATCACTACGGGAACTAGGTAATCAAGCCGATTCACACATGGATGTACAGTGCACATAAGATGTCGTATTCGTCGTGCAGAGTAGAGTGCGGTCAATAGAGCATGAAAAAAATGTAATGTTGCTTGACGATCTAGAGAAACTTAGCTGGTACGAATAAAATTTTTTCAGATTGTCAGGTCTACATATGTTGGAGCCTGCACAGTTTATGCGATAGTGTGTCTCAGTGTCAACGCAAGACTGCTATTCGAATGGAATCGATTGTCACAATCTGGCGGTTTAAAACAGTCTCACCACGAGAGGGTTAGAAGAACATTCTCTAGAACGATATTAACATCTGCAAATGTTTTTTGGCCACGGATTCCAGTGGCTGGAAAACTTTGTAGAAGCTCCCAAGAGTCTTGCCGCACCTCTTTCAATCACATGTAGAAACTTCGTTTGTTCGAACTAATAAGGGAACAGGTCCAAAGCGCGCTTTCTCGAAACCGTTTTTTGCTTTTTATGGGACCTTGTACAGAGACCGAGAAAAAGTGTTCACTTTGCTGAGCGTCCCAGGAATGCCAAATAAGAAGCAAAGAAGGAATGTATAGGAACGAAAGGGCCTTACAAGGGAGGTCGTTCAGGTCGTGGTGAGCTTTTCAAAAACGGTTTGTTGCATGATGTAGGGGTCCATGCAAGGACCACACAGATGGGGTTCATTTTTGCTAAACGCTATTGGGAATGCACAAAAAGGTCAAATATAATTCGAAAAGAATGGGCCATTTAAGCCACCTTATTCGCCTCCGTTCTAGCTGTAGCGTTGACAGCGTATAGTATGTGAGGTATTCTTTGAGCAGGCATGAAAACGCAAAATAAGGTCAAAATTCAAGTACTTCACTTGAATTGTGGTGAGCTACATAGGGGTTCCATAGTCATCTGCGCATATCTCTTCAATAGGTCCTGCATCTCATCGCTCGCAGTGGCCGGTGGTGTGGTGGATAACGTAATGGACTCTCAATCGATAGGTTTGTGGATCGGATCCTCTTGTCGACATTTTTTTGCATTTTTCAGATTTCTCCTTCTTGTTCCTGTGTGCCCCATAATGTGTATGACCCGGATATACATCATTTAAGGGCACACTATGTGGGAACGGTTCACAAAGGGGCCCCACTGAATATTACGTTCGCTAAATGCTATCGAAGAAACTCTTCCTGAAACTTGGCTTACGGCGGTTATCCCTGATCACGAATATGACACTCGATTTGAATATGGCGCAATATCGCCAATATCGAATATTAATATCGCCAATTTGGTGTAGAGGCTTTCCCGTACCAACATCATTGCGGCGGAGCCCATTTAGCGCAATACTGGCCCAGATGGATTCCGCGTCAAAAATAAGTATCAAACCGTGATCAGGACCATCAAATACCCCTATGTACAGAGATACGCCGGAAAAATTTTTCCGAGCTTTTTGTAATATGATGCCTGCCCATGCCTCCATTTAGAGGCTATCAGTCCCTCCTCTATAAGTCCCTCCTCCTTTTCCAGAAGTCGTTGTCAAACATCGTAAATAGGGAGCTTTTCATTTGCTAGTATGCAGACGCATAAGTAACGACTACAAAATTTGAAAAGAAGTGGCGTGCATACACTGCACACCATTTGCTCTTCTGATGTGAGAGAAACAAGATCCTTTGCAGGAGGTAAAGAGTTCTTTGTTGAAAGCCTAGACGGTAAAAGTGGAGAAAGATTCAGATGCGTTTAGTGACTTCGAAGCTAACACGGTGTTCTTTGAAGACTTGAGAGGTTGAGAGTGCGAAAAATGTAAAATTTCTGGCGGTTCGTATGCCAGAGGCCTTTACGGAGGGTTCACTGCCACTGCCATCCAAATGGTCAGGTCCACTACCACCAGGAAAACTCGAAAAAAATTTTCGCTGAAACCTCGTATACAGGGGTAATTAATGGCCCTGATCACGATTCTGACAATTATTTATGGCGCCGACGTGATCTGGGGCCAGCGTGGCGCTAAATGGCCACTGCGCGCGGGAAGGGAAGCTGCATAAACCACTAGAGAAACTGCAGTGTACCTCCCTGTATGCCAAGTAAAGCACCTAAATTTTGATCTTATTCTGCGTTGTTTTTCATGCCTAGTTAAGGAACACGTTATAAATTATACGTACTCAGCTCTACAGCTAAAACAGAGCCGAATAAAATGATCAAATTAGCCTATTCTGCGCAACTTGTTTTTTTTTCCTTTTTTGGCATTCCCAATAGCGTTTAGCAAAATTGAACCCCATCTTTGTGGTCCTTGCATGGACCCCTACATCATGCAACAAACCGTTTTCGAAAAGCTTACCACGACCTGAACGACCTACCTGTAGGCCTTTATGCGCTGTGAATCACTTGAAGTGAATTTTGAACAGTTGCTATATGGAGAACCCTCGCGAAGGATCTATTAGGATCAATGTGAGAAAAAAGTTGCGGCTCGATCCTACTTGTGATACTTGCTCAAGTGTGAATGATTTCTTATGATGGTTTCTGCAGCATTAGAGCTGCATGAACCTGCAGCGATAGGTTGACTCAGTGGGTAGCACCGTTCAGACCGTGACATTGGGCTTGCTGGCTCAGTTCCCTGATATACTTTGCATTCTACCAGGTTTCGCTGCTCTCGCGTCCATACGTATCTGCAAACGGACAATTACGATGATGTTTACCATCTATGGGCACATTCTAAATTGTGCTACTTCATAATTTTGTCTTTTACTACACTTGCAATATTCACATGACATTATAGTGGAAATCGACGTTTGCTGGTTGACCAGAGGATTGATTGCGAATATGGCGTGACTTCGAGATCTAACTTTTCCGAGCTAACTCGTTAGATACGCTCGTATTAGGGGCCTTCGGTGCCTGCATGGCGCCCGATTGCGTCGACGCCAGAATAAGTACTAGAAGATGGAGGAGGAGGTCCGAAGTTGGTGGATTGCTATTCAGGATGCGGTACACGATTCCAGTTCTAATCAAAATTTTGAAAATCTGCGCGATGGAATCTCCGGGAAAACAGTACTGCGCCAAAGTCAGTCTTTTTATCCTTCCGTACGATACTCAT